TCATTACTGACTGTAACCTGTTCAGGGCAGCAGTATGCCTAACATAGTGAAAGTAATGAGAGCATACATCACACATACTCCCAGGGCCATGCCCAGAGTTATGCAGCAAACTGTGCAAAGGTCCTTGCCAAGTGGGTCAGGGTCTCTAGGGTCTTGCCTCAAATAGAGCCATTTTTGATAGTCTCAGGCCTTGTTTCCTGAAGAAGTCACATGACTTCTCCCACACCCCCTAAGTCTTGCCAAAAGGGACAAAAACACACATTGGAAAAAGTTAGCCTGCTCAACAAATGGTGCTGGCAAAACTGGATTTCTACTTTTGGAGAATGAAATTAGATTCTTTTTTTTTGCCTTGTCAATTCCAAATGCACCAAAGACTCCATTTAAAAAACTGTAACACTGAAACATTTAGAAGAAAACATAAAATATAGACTTTGAGATATTGGGGTAGTCAAGAACTTTTTGAACAGAGCACCAGGAGCACAGGAAATAGCCACCAGTGCAGCAGATAGGCCTACATGAAAGTTAAACATTTGTGTCCAGCAAAGAAAACACTCAGTAGAGCACACAGACAGCCTGGGGAATGGCAAAAAACTTCACCAGCTACACTTCAGATAAGGGGCTAATATCCAGGATTAGCAAAAAATTGTACAAATTAAATACCAAGGGAATAAAACTGCCAATCAACAAATGGGCAAATGAACTGAATTCACAATTTTCAGATAAGAAACACAAATGTCCAGTAACTATTTTTAAAAGTGTTCGATATTCTTAGCCCTCAGGGAAAATTAAATTGAAACTTTGAGATACCACCTCACCTCTGTCAGAATGACTATTATTGAGAAATCTGATAACAAATGTTGGAAGGGATATGGGAAGAAAAGAACTCTTATTTGCTGTTGGTTGTGGTGCAAATTAACAGTCATTATGGAAAATCAGTTTGGAAATTTCTCAAAACCTAAAATAGAGCTACCATATGACCTAGCTATTTCACTATTGAGTACATATAGAGGGAACTTCATACCCTACAATAGGGACATTTACACCACCATATTTATTGATGTTGGATTCATTAAAGCAAGAAATTGGAATCAACCTAGTTTTTTATTGATAGATGAATGGATAATGAAAATTTGTATACACACACACACACACACACACACACACACACACACACATTTCATTATTCTTTTTATTCTGAAGTACCACTGCTGCTTCAAAATGGCTGTTCTAACTGCAAAAAAGTTTATTGAGATGCTAGACTTTGTGTGTGAGCTTTTTTATTTCTACATTTTGAGTAATAAAGCTTACAAATATATATAAAAAATACTTGTCCTCAATTTTCAACACATGTGCTTTGCTGAGATATAAAAGGCTTTATGAGATTGGTTTATGTACTTACTTTTTTCTTTACTTCAAAATATTTTAACTTTTAGTAAATATCTCTGCAAAACAAACAAAATTTGAAACTCTTTAGTTCATGTTGAGCTCTCTCTGTTAGAAGAGATGTAAAGTATTTCCAGAGTTGATTTCTTCAACTATGTTCTTGTTTGTGCTCTACCCTGACTTTGAAATTCTTCTTTGTTGTAAATCTCTTTTTTTTCCTTTTTGAAAATAGATTTTTTTCTAACATAACATATCATGATTGCCATTTCTCTTCCCTCTACTCTCCCCATTTCCCTCTCACCTTCCCTCTCATCTGGATCCATCCCCTTTCTGTCCCTTTAGAAAATAAACAGGCATCTAAGGGATAATAATTGATATGATATGATATATGATATAATAAAACAAAAACCCAACACATCTAATAGGCCAAAATAAATAGAAGGAAAAGGCACAAGAAACTGATATAGATGCAAAGACTCACTTGTTCACACACTCAGAAATCCCATAAAAACACTAAACTGGAAGCCATAATATATACTGAAAAGATGGGTAGGGTAGAAAGAAGGAAATATATGTAAATAAATAAAAATATATAAAATTAAAAATGAAAGCCCTGACATGACAGTATGAGACAAGGAACCTGTAAAGGTTCTGTTGAGTTTGCTTTCTGTTGGTTATCTACTCCGGGCATGCAGCCCATCCTCAAGAGTGGTTTGTTTTGCCAGTGAGACTCCTTTGGAGAAAATTAAATTTTCATTTGCAACTGCTTATCAGTTGTATATAGCTTCTGAGGTAAGGGTAGACTCATGTGTCCACTTCTCAGTTCTAGGACTCTATCTTGTGCAGACTTGTGCAGGTCCTGTGTGTGCTCCCTTATCTCTGTGAGTTCATATGCACTTTGATCCTGTTGACTTACAGGGCCTTGTTTCCTTGGTGTCTTCCCCTCTGGATCTTATAGTCTTTCTGCCTCCAAGGTTCCCTGGACCCCAAGGAAAGAGATTTGTATGGAGATTTTTCAATTTAGGCATGAGTTTTCTAAGGTCTCTCACTCTCTTAATATTACTCTCTTCATACTGTATTTGTTCCCATCTGCTGCAGGAAGAAGTTTTCTGATGATGGTAGAGCAAGGCACTGATCTGCCTTCCTGGTCAGTGTCTGAAAGTCTTTCATCTTCCTTGATCTCTCCTAAACTTCCAGAGGCTCATTTTCTGACTCTTATTATAACAAAATCTTACTGATGTTGAAGAGAACACAACACAGAATCAAAGTCCATTTCATATCATTCTTATTTTCCTATTGAAAATTAGCTTTTCTTACTTTGTTCAACAGACTTTTATGGAAGTAATATTCTCTCTTATTATGTATTCAGTCTGGAAGCCTTGGTAGCCCATTTTCCAATCTGCACTAGTTTGAAAGGTGTCATCTTGAAGGTTACTTAAGATTAAAATCCTTAGTTATGGTATTATTTCCTAGGTCATCATACTTCAACAAATACTGACTTTATTTTTAGTAGATTCTAGTTTTCAGTTGTGGCTCTCCAAATGCTTCACTTGTCAAGGGCTTTCCTCTCTCTTCAAATTTCTCAATCCACTTCCAGAGCTTTCCATAATTTCTTCTCTAACACTGTTAGGGTTAATGTAATTGTTGGCTTAGCACAGTCTATAGTCACCGGAAAGGGATTCTCAAAGAGGGATTGTCTGGATCAGGTTGGTTTATATGAGATTATCTTGATTGTCTTGACTGATGTGTGATGTCCAAGCCTGAAAGTAGGTGGGACCATTTACTAATTTGGGGCTCTGAACTACAGAGGAATAGGGAAAATTATTTGAGTAGCAAATATGGGTGCACTCATTTCTCATTGTGACTGTGAATGTCATGTGACAGGCTGCTTTAAGTTCTTGCCATCTTGACTTCCCCACAACAGTGACTCTAACCTGGAAGTGTGAGCTAAAATAAACCATTTCTCCTTTAAGTCACTTTTGCTTTTGTTATCACAATTACAGGAAAGAAAGTAGGACAAATATTAACAAGCTTTTACACTTCAGTACTGAGTTATTTCTCAGATTTTTTTAGATCTGTATCCTGGACAATGAGTTGAGTCTCAAATTGAGTCATCTAAAATGTAACTCACCATTCCCTAATCAGGCCTTGCATACCATCCTTCTAATTTCCATGTTTTAGCATTTCCCATGTATGGAGAAGATGAGAAAACTGGTCATTGTGCTTTATATAAATCATTTATGTTAATCCCTAAAGTCATTTGTATTTCATCAATAAGTTCCTAAGACCAGAACTGGCCAATTGAGGTGTCTAATGAGTTTACCTAAGAACAGGAAATCAGTCTGCTTAAATCAGATGCTGAATCCATATATTTTCACACTATGTTGACAGAGTGGTAACTATTATTTACTTTATAATTTATTTATTATTTTTGTGTGTATGTATGTGTATGAATGCAGGTGTATGGGTGCCATGGCAAACAGATGATGGTCAGAAGACAACTTCCAGAAGTCATTTCTCTTCTTCCCCTATAGGATTGAACTCACAGCACCAGGCTTACTTGGCAAGCACTTTACCTATTGAGCCAGCTTGCAGCTCCCAGAGTGATTACCAGCAACAGAATAATCAAATAATATTCAGTTATGTTTTTGTTGTTGCATTTACCGAGGGAGGAAAATAGACAAATATACTTTGGAAAGACTACAAACCTTTGACATGAGCTTGATACATAAAAGGTTTCCATTGAATTTGGTTACTAACAGTTAACAACAAAACCTCTCTCCAAATTCTGAATTTAACCAAGGTCATGTTACCTAATAAACTAGGTATTTACTTTTGTCTCTAATGTTGAGTTCATGGTTAATATAGTTTTTCTCAGTGTCTATTGTTATAGTCAACAATTGGTACTCTGAGTATTGGGCTTCAGTGTTAATGTAAGCTTGATAAGTTAGGCAGACAATTCTAGAATTAATCAGATGATCAATGGGAGCAGTAACCAAACAGCACAGAGATGTCTCATGGTGTGTCAAGTGGGGATTAAATGATAGGTTGTATGGATTGTTTCTAAGGATGCAGCATTGTTAAGCAATTACACACTTAACAACTGTTGTTTAAGTACCATTTTATATAATTTGGACTGAATGAACTTGATAGATGAAAGCCCCGCTGAATTAAGGAATGATGATAGTCTCATTTTGGATGCTGTGTCACCCAGGTCAATAAGTTCCAACAACAATGAGTACATTTACTTGGTACATTAAACATATCCATTTTCCAGCACTTCTTGTTTCTTTAACAAGTGTGTCTGGAGTCTGACCTGTGCTTTAGGGAGTTTCATCAGCCATGTGTGGAAGATGATGATATCAAAGACATAGCAGACTGTTCTCTGAGGCATTTTTTTCCATTTTTGCTATTTTTCTCAATTACTCTGAATGACAAGTTTAAAATCAAAAGAATCAAGATTTTTAAGTCCAAAAGCAAAGTAGCTCTAGCTCTTAGCAGAGGATTTGATGAAAGGTCTGTACTCAGTAGAAAAGGGAATGAAGAGGGCCTAGCTTTCTCCTAGTTTACTTACCTTGGAGTACAAATGACATTGTGGTTTTATTTGGAACTTTCAGGAAGGGGTCCAGATCACCATTTTTCAGGAAGCACAAAAGATGGGTCAGAAGAAGCCCATGTCTGCCTGCCCTGCAGAGAAGGCTGCTCCTTCTGTGCTGATGACCGCCCGTGCTTTGTCCAGGAGGATAAATACCTTCGGCTCGCTATCATCTCCTTCCAAATCCTGTGCATGCTGTTGGACTTCGTCAGCATGATGGTGGTCTACCACTTTCGCAAAGCAAAGGTAAACCCAGGTATTCTGGTCATGGCCTTTCTTTATACTAACAGTAACTCTCTCTCTCCCTCTCTCTCTCTCTGGAAATTGAAATCCATTAGCTTCCCAAGGAAAGAAGGGTTAATGATATTTTGTGTTAGTATTTCATTATAGAGAAGGTGCTTTCTGTTTAGCCTGAGGCTCTAAAGCTCCACTGCCCTAAAGAACTCTCCTTAGTGTAATTTCTTGGTGACCAGAGGACTTTGTGTTACCTCTATCCAGTGTGTCTTAATTTTTCTTATCTAGAAAGCCCTGTTGTGTTTTAGTTTTGATTTATTTCTCTTGGTAATATTAAAAGGTACAAAGAATCAACCTATTTATTTTTAGCACATTATACTCCAGAAAAGAATTTATGAATAGTCTTGTATTACTGTCTGGGGATGATAGAAATGCTAAAACATCCAGGGCGGAGTTTTCTGGGGGAGTTTCTCCAGTGGCCAGAAATCAGTCACATGAAGCAAGCATTGTGTTAGAATGTTTGATTCTGTTGCTTTATAATAAGTTCCTAGTGACACTAGAAAAGACAATAAGTTTCCACCATTCTTGAATTCAAATGATTTCATCTTGAAAAAAATTGTTCAGATTGCTGTAGATTATAGAGATTTTTAAAATTACATGTCTCCACTAGAAATTTAACAAGAAAAGAATCCCTTTTGGATAATGTCTGCTACAAAGCCACTAGTTAATATTTTTAAGGCACAGTTAAGATTCTAATAAATTGTATCCACTATGCTAATGTTATGGATATTATTAATTACTTTTAATAGCAGGCAACACAGTTTAAATCAAGCTTTGAGTCAGCAAGAAAATGCAAACATGAAATTTGCTTCCATTTTACTAGTATTCATCTTTCTCTTGAAAACACTGTGTTGATTTTATGTATAGTAAAATAGTAGGCTAATAGGTTTCCAGATAACATTTTTAAAAAGCAAGTCAGTAGCAGAGCCAGAATTGAAAGATCAAGTTAACAAACTGCTCTGAAATCTCTCTGATGGAATAAATTCATTACACAGTGGATACCACAGTCTTTATGAATTTTAATTGATTTTAATCATTAATGATTGCTGTGTTAAATAAGTCAGCAGTAAATGTGGGCAGAATGCATCATTGGGTACTTAGAAGTTTCCTATAGATAGTTCTGGCTGGACGAATGTCTTAATCTACGATAATGTTATTTCACAGTTATTAACCTTTCAGATATCCCTAGACCTTCTGAGGAAATGGGAAGCAGCTGACCAGAACCCCCCTTTTTACAGGGCTGCCATGAGAATGCATATCTCTACATAAAATTTTGAAGATATTTATTGCACATTATCTAGTTTGAAGATTTACCTTTTGAAATCAGTTCTCTTAGAATGAGACATAATGAAATGAGCCTAAGTTAATCAAAGCAAGGAACACAGATCTTGCATATTGAAGAAAGGAATTGTTTGGTGATGTTTCCTATAGTGATTTCTCTCACCAAACTGGATTAGCTATAAAAGTAATAATACATTTCCAGTACAGAGACTCCATATGTATAGCATGTGGACTTTGGAATTACTCTTTAAGCATTTTTTGTGTATCTTGGCATCATTTCTTTACCTAGTAAGGAAACCCTATGGGGCAACACTAACACTTTAAGTATTTCTCATTGTATTTTCTATTCCTGATAATTAAAAGGAAAAATATACTATTTTACCAATTTCATCTAGTTTGAGAATTGTAGCATAGATGTAGCATGACAATTGTCAGTCATATCATTTAAAATTAAATTCCATCTCAGTCTCTCCTTGACTGTTTTCCTTCTATGATACATTAAACCCCAAACATTGATCCAAAGTGTAACATAGATGTAAATGGAAGAGTCATACATAACTAAGAGTATTATTTTAGATGGAAACATGAGTGGAAATCTTCATGGCTTTGGGTTACTCAACTTTTTAAAGATATATCATAAAACTCACAAATATAGAAGAACAAAATGATGAATTATACTTCATGAAAATTGAGACTTTAGGCCATAAAAATAAACAACCCATAGAAGAGCAGAAAACTATTATAAAATGCATAAGCAATACTCATAAATTAATAATAAAAATAAACTTTAAAATGGAGAAAGTATCTGAATAGGCATTTCTTAAAAAATGTATGACATTCCAATGAACACATGAGAAGAAGCTCAATAATATTAGTTATTAGAAAAATACAAATCAAGTCTGTAATACCCACTAATGTAGCTAAAATATTTTTTTAAATTCTATTAACAAGTGATGAAAATACAGAAAAAAATTGAAAACATCCCATTTATTTCTACTGCAGATGCAAAAGTGTGCTCAGATTGGGAAGCATCTTGGTAATCTACAAAGTTTAAAATATTGTACAATATGATACAAGTATTGTATTCTTAATATATGTCTATACAGAAACGCAAATAAATGTTCATAAAAGTGTCATCCACAACAGCTAAATGATGAAAACCACCAAGATACCCATCAATTTATACAAATGAGTAATTAAGTATGATATTTTTGTATAATGGAATACCATTTGTCTTGACCCCTTTGCTCATCAATCTTCCCTTTCCGCAACTGAATTCTTAGTAGATCAGTATTTATCCCTAGCAAAAGAATGGACTTTGGGAGCCCATTCAACATAGAGGGATACTCTCTCAGCCTAGACCCATGGGGCGGGCCTAGGCCCTGACCCAAATGATATGACAGACTTTGAAGATCTCCCATGGAAGGCCTCACCCTCCCTGGGTAGCAGAAAGGGGGTGGGATAAGGAGTTGGTAGGGGGCAGGGAAGAGGGGAGGAAGAGGGAACTGGGATTGACATGTAAAACAAGCTTGTTTCTAATTTAAATAAAAAAGAACTTTTAAAAAATTTTAAAAGGAATACAATTTGTCAAGGAAAAGGATTATTTATCAATACATGGAGTGATATGAATGAACTTTAAAATGCTAAGTAGGAAAACAGCTGTAAAAGACATTATGTTGTACGATTGCATTCATCATAGATAAGCAAATTCATTGGCCCCAGAAGTAGATTAGTAGTTACCAGGGGCTACCAGAAAAGAAGAATGGAGAGGGACCACTAATGAGATTAGAACTTCTTTCAAAGTGATACAAGATTCCAGAATTTTAAAGGCATTTATATATAACCCATCTCCAGAAACAGTGATGAGACAATTCATCAATTATTGTAGAATTAGCCTTAACTAGGTACTGATATTTCATTATTACACTTACAAGATATTTACAAGATTAGCAATTAATGTGTGTTTCTTACCTGTGGGTCTACATGTGACATTTAAACAGTTGAAAACAATAAGGATTTGGAAGGTGCAGTCCTGGCTCTGAAGCACACACATGAGGTTCATGGTCATTCACACACTAATTGATTCCAAAACCATAACTATTCATCTACTTCTACATGGCCTTTGTCTGAAAAGAGATATTAAATGTACAATTAAACTAAACTCAGAGTTATTTACCTATTTATAGCAGTGTCTTTTCTAGGAAGGTTTAATTTTCCTTCAAAATGAGAGCTATGGAGATCTCTCCTGGCTATCAATTGTTAAGCCATTGAGGATATTTAGAAACTAAAGCCATTGAGGATATTTAGAAACTAGACTCATGCTGTTCATAGTCTTCTTACTAAATAAACAATTTAAAAGTTCATAATATATGAATAAGTGTGTTTGCTCTTTTCCCAGTTTTCATTTGGAAAGAGAAACATTGTTTTTCAGAACTAGAATCATGTCATATAGAAAAATACCAAGACCCCAAGAGTTTGTTAGTTGCTCAAGTTAGTACAGCTGGGTTGGGAAATTTATATATTTGTGGTTTATTGTGTTCTATGCAATGGCATATGCACTTTCAGGAGATGAATAGAATATAGTCATATTAAAATTAGAATAAAGATATTAGTGAAAGTAGCTGGTGAGGTTAAGATAGGAATTAGATTCTTTGAGGTCAGAGTTATGGCTTCAACCATTGTTGAAAAGACACTGAGCTGGAGAGATTGGTCAGAGGTTAAGAGCACCAGCTGCTCTTCCAGAGGACCCGGGTTCAATTCTCAGCACCCACATGGCAGCTCATAACAGTCTGTAACTCCAGTTCCAGGGGATCAGACACCCTCCCACAGACATACATGCAGGCAAAACACCAATGTACATAAAAAAACGAATCAATAAGAAAAAGGAGAAAGAAAAGTCAGAGACAACTGGGAATATTTTAGCAGCAGCATGGAATGAAAATGCGCAGTGTGCCCCAAACTACAAACCAACCAGGGCTCTGAGCACACACCTGAGCTCTACACTTATTCCCATGCTGATCGACTTCTTGAATAATGTCTCTTCTGTGGATCATCATATAGAGAGGTTATAAAATATAAAAAGTGGCCACACCCTTCCATGGAGCAGAACAGTAATCCCCACAGCCCTTTCTGCTTATTTGCCTTGATTGAAGTGTGAGTGTCTGAGCTCCACAGTGCACACTGCTCTTCAATGCTTAGTCTCTGTTAAACTTTTCCTCACTTGGTAAAACACTTGACAGAACATTTTAGGGGAGAGCATATGTGGCTGTGGGTCACATTTTCAGATGAGCAGTCAGTCATAATGGAGAAGAGACCATGATGCTGGTGTGTGTTCATATGGTGGCAGACCAGGAAATGAAGAGGTATACCACAACTAAGGTCAGCATAATAACCTTCATGGGCTTGCCCCTCTCCTAATCTCCCTCTCCTAAAGGACTCATGGTCTCTGAGTAGTCCTTCAGCTGACTGCTGGGTGGTCAAAATCTAAACCTGTGGGGGGACACTTCATATTCAAACCATAACAGTAATGAATAGTGAGGAGTCTACTAAGAGACACACACCTTAAGAGAAACACACTGTTTCATCTATAGGAGCTACACTGAGGGAGAGATGGAGGTGCCTGGTTACAGAGGCACCTCAGTTTGTTTCCCACTACCTCTGTAGTTTACACC